GGCTTGTGTAGTGTTTTAGGTTATGTGTAGTGTTCTTTTGGCCCTCAAACCTTACAGGTTTCATAGTTACCCTGGGTGTCCAACGGAAATTCTGGGGTAGAGGATATAGGGTGCTGTATTATCTGGGAGTGGGGAAATATAGGGTGCTGCATTATCTGGCAGCAAGGGTAAGGGGATTTGGGTGCTGTATCATCTGGGGTGGGGGAAATAGGTCATGTAAAACCTGGGGCAGGGGGATAATGGATGCTGTAATATCTGCGGTGGGGAAATATAGGGTGCTGTATTATCTGTGTGTGCTTGATATAGGGTGCTGTATTATCTGTGTGTGGTGGATATAGGGTGCTGTATTATCTGTGTGCGGTGGATATAGGGTGCTGTATTATCTGGGAGTGGTGGATATAGGGTGCTGTATTATCTGGCAGTGGGGGGATATATTGTGCTGTATTATCTTGGAGGGGGGTTTATAAGGAGCTGTAATATCTGGCAGTGGGAGGATATAGGGTGCTGTATTATCTGGGGTGGGGAGTTATAGGGTGCTGTATTATCTGGGGTTGCAAGGATATAGAGTGCTGTATTATCTTGGAGTGGGGGGGATACAGGGTGCTGTATTATTTGGGAGTGGTAATCTCACCAGTGGATGTTGAACCATTATTTTTCTACTAAGTTGCAAATTAAGTTTTGTTGGTTTATGTACAGCTTCTGAGTCTAACTAGTCCCAGTGCTAGGAAAGTGTATATCAGTTTATGTTGATCACTGGGTGCAGGCACTCTTTAATATCAATAAATCCCAATCTCCCTACACCTTTGTGGAGGCTCAGGACCCCTGGCCTGTTCCAGCCCATGCAGTGATCCCTGAGTTTCCAAGGCTACTGCACAGTTTGGAGGGGGGGGGGGTCACATTAGTTTGTTAGATACTAATTTACTCTTTTGTCTTATTTTTTATTTTTTTTGTATAATGAAAATAACAGCTCTAACAGAAAAAAGATGTGTGCGTTAGTTTATTTTATACTGCAGAGCTCTATAAATCTATATTATCACAGAGCTTACCAAATGGTTACTCAAATAATTATATAGTATAAACTAAATTCTGATTTAAAGACCTTATTGTACTCAAGCATCTGTGTTTTTGCATAATGATACTTTCGCTATGATTGATTGTACAATGTTACTAAGTTCCAGCGGATGATGGCATTCTGTGCTGAATTAATTTAAGTATTTTTGCCTGGAGCATTAACTAGAATAGTGTTAAAAAAACATAGATGGCAATCCAGTAATTCATAATATTTGAAAAAGAATCATGGTGTAAGAGATAATTTTAAATTCTTTGTTAAATATTTTGTTTGATACTATATGATAGGATGTCAGATTTAATATAACTTTATTAATCTATTTCATAACATTATGTGTACATCTGTGCCAATCTCATTTTGCTACAGTGTTATTCTTCACTCCGAAGAGAAACTGTCACTTCTTTTCTGACAGTACTTCATTATATCTATCTGTATCTCTGCAGAGGTAAGGCAAATAGCAGTCTCGTGTCACAATCTCAAGCCAAGGAGGGAGTCTCTGAGAACACAAAGTATATTAAGGATTTGTGCCAGTTGCACCAGAAGGATTCAATCTCTTGTATAACTCAAATGTTTGTTGTTACTATACTTACTGTATGTGAATGTTATGCCCACATTCAAAAATTATGTTTACACTCTAGTAGTATTTTCAGGAAGATTAATTTTTCGAAAATGCAACCAGCAAACCTACTATTACACATGCAAAAGAAATAAAGGCTTAAGGAAGCAAACAACCACCAGCCTATAGAGTGGAGAGTTAATGGTGTATTAAATAAACACCTAGTCCTAACTGGGACTCTGTTAAATTTGCAAAACTACAGAAATGGGAAAAAGACAGAGACTCTGTAGTGTAAAACCATGTGACAGGATATGATGTGAGAAGATACTGGTTAAACTAACATGAAGACAAGCTTTAAATGACAGGCTCAAATCATATCCACAGAAGTGTTCTTAGGGGACACAATCCCCCCTTCTCTATTCCATAAAAATATGCTCAGGAAAAAAACGAGAAAAAGAAGCAATAGCTTATAGTGTAGTACATCCACATATCAATGTAACGGAGCTCCAGTACTCCGACCGAGTACTTTAAGAATTACAGCAATAATGAAGAAGTCTTTATTAAACCTGCCATTCAAACAATATAATATATTTAGTGGAGTGCCCATGTGGTTTAAAATATGTGGGACGCACTAAACGAAATTTACATACTAGGATTGAAGAACACATCAGAAACATCAAGAAAAAGTTTGAGGGACACAGTGTTTCACACCATTTCGCCTTAGAGCACAATAGCGATCCCACACAACTCAAATTTATGGGTATACATAAAGTTAAGGGCAATTGGCGAGGAGGTGATTTTGCCAAGTTATTGGGACAGAGTGAGATGAGGTGGATATTCAACCTTGGGACTTTAAAACCGCAGACTTTGAACTCTGCCATTTTATCTAAACACATATATTTCATTAGGTTCCATAATTTTTATACATATGTATATACTATTACAGATATAGTATATATATTATTTACCTATGTGTATATAAATCACCCCTACCCATTGGCACAATAATTATGGTTTAACTCCATATTAACTGTGAATACCACTTAAAGAATTCATACTTATATTCTTAGTAGACACAACATATCCAATAAGGATATCCATCTCAATATGATTCTATTTATTACTATCACTTTAAGTACACTTATCACTTTTTAAGCACCTAAGCACTTCAATATTCTAATAACCATCAATTATATTCATAACATAAAAGGTCACTGGCACATAATTATGTCTATGAATATTGTGGGATAATTCTTTATTTTATTTTATTGTCTATTTATGTTATTTTGATTTTTAGTTTTTTTGTTTCCCTATATACCCTCATATATGCACTATCTGCCCATCACGCCGGAGGGGGAGGAGCTAACAGCCATGCCGACATGCCTTATGGGCTGTACGTATCGGCATGGCCACGGACTACCCCCTCCCACATTACAATCCCCTCCCCCCGACCTGCACGCATGGGAGATGTGCGGCATGGCCGGGGAGTTAGGGGTATTCCGGGCGGCGGCTGAGTGACGATCACGTGGGTCCGTGACGTCACTTCCGCCAACCGCCCGGATGCCACTTCCGCCAAACGCTGAGTGACAATCACACGGACACGTGATGTCACTTCCGCCAACCATCTGGATGTATGCGGAGTATTTCCGCCAACCACTACTGCCCACCAATGAAAGCAACAGCAAATAAAGGCGCCGATAGCCCTCACCAATTAAAGGCACACACACATATTTTCTCACACTTGATAAATGTAAACTGCATTATGATTGGACTAAATGCACTTAGCTCATTAAAGGGGAAGATCCCAGAGACATTTAAAAAAGGAAGATTCAGAGGACCTACATTACAGCTGACTGAAGAAGCTCTATTTGAGAGTGAAACGCGTTTTGGCCATTTTTAAAGGACTTTTATTGAGGACTTTTTTACACCATTTGTTTTTATATATATTATATACTAATAAATTTGTTATTTTATTTAATACCCTACTCAAGTCCTTTTTTGGAGCCTCCAGAGAATCTTCATAGGGGTAGTGCCATCCCCATTCAAACAGGCACAGAGTTTATATACCTAGAGCCAGGACCCATAGGCTCAGGACCAGGTGAGCACCACATTTGTTATTATATATGTGTGCTTTTATGACCGCAATCTACACATTGGTTCACTCTCCCTCTGTTCTTGTCTTTGAGAATCACTCCAAATCGAAGTAGAAGGGTGGTGCTACCACAATAAGCACACAAGCCTTGATACGGAGCCAGTGTTTCTATATACAGGCTCCTTGAAATGTGAGTGCACAATTCATTACGATCTCATCATCACTATTGCATTGCCATTTTAAATACCATCTGCACTATATTGTATTTTTCTGTATTTTTCTTCACATGTACTTTTTACTGTACCATTGTACGAAATAACGTTTGGTAAGCTATATATGTGTTTGAGCGCTCCATTTATAGGTGTAGGTCTTTGTTACTTACACCGCACTTAAATCTACAATTAGGGCAACCACCTGCAACCCAGGGGTGGGGGCCAGGAGAGGGGACAATAGATCCTCACCCTTTATTATAAATATTAGGCCCCCCGTCTATTACTCATGGGTGGGTGCCCGGGGGTACACTACGGCAGGGGTAGGCAACCTTGTGGACTACATCTCCCATAATCCTCTTACACCCATAGTGCTGGCAAAGCATCTTGGGAGGTGTAGTCCAAAACATCCAGAGTGCCGAAGGTTGTCTATGCCTGCACTAGGGCCTCCTACATTAATTTTTAGTTCCTCCCCCCCCTCCCGATGTCCATGGTTGGGGGCATGGGGAAACTATGTCCCCCCCATTATATCACAGGCCCCATCTCATGGGCCTTTTTAGTGAGTTTCTAGTTTTTAATGTTTAGTTGACATCTCCCACCTGCCAGGTGACAGGTGGGTGCATATAGAAGTTTACATAATCTATTATAGAAATATGTGTGTCTTATTGACCTCCCTACGATTTTTAATTATTTAAATTTTTTTTATTTATTTTACTATTTTCATGTAGCGGCAGTTGAGCAAGCTAGTGCTCCCAGTGGGCAACAGTTAGGATTTTTTTTAAATCTAGACCCGGATTTCATTTATTCGTACTGGATTTTAATATATTGGGGGGCACACGCAGAACATGCAGTTCTTAGTAGTGCTGCTGTAAAACACTGAGTATTCTTGTGGTGTCTGCCCTGCCTAAACAGGGACAACTGGGGGGTTCAAATTCTATTTTGACAAGTATTGTCTAAACCAGAAGAAAGTCCCAGAGAGGACTGAAACGTTGATCTACATGTTGGAATGAAGGAAATCTTTTTCTATGGAAGACAGTGAGTGCAGACCATTTGTTTTATTACTATATATATATATACAGGAATAGCACACATCAGCTGTACAATGTATTTTTAATGTATATTTTGTACAGCTGATGTGTGCTATTCCTGTACAAAAACCCATATTGTGCTCAGCTACATCTTTGGGTGCCTTCACCACTATCTTGTGCAGCTACAATGTCATATAAGAGACAAGGCTATTTCAATTTATCCAGTTAGAATTTTCATAGATGGATTTGATAGGCCTATGTCTCATTTTGGGGCATTATAACAGTTTGATTGTTCAAATAACCCCGGCCTACAAAATTTGAAAGGAGAAACTCCAAGGCAACTCACAATGAGATGGAGGGAGGTGGATCAGATGTCCCAGAAGCACTGTGTTTGTAGTGACTAGCTGTCATTGCGATCACATGGTCTGAGACATCACCATTTGCTGCTGCAACCACAGCAATCTGGCATTAATTTTAGTACATGACGTCAATTTTCCACCATACGTCCTTAAGGTTAGAACTCATGATGGAAAAATTCAGTCCAGTGCGCAAAGTAATTATAGAGATGTTTTGTAGGCTTCTTATATAAATATATTTCAAAATATTTTTTTATTGTATTTTTTGACACATAGATTGGAAAAATCTCCGGTAATGCTGAAAGAGGCAGACCTAGGCACAGAAATATCATGCCAAACAGGAGACGAGCAGACCAAAGAGAGGGAGAGGAAAATCAAGTGCAGCAGGTAAGAACGCTAACAAGACCATTTTGGCTATTAACTAATGGTTTAGACTATTAAGAGAACTTTTATGTAAGTAAACAAGATGATATCTTTCTCTCCAGGCATCTCTGGATTACAGAACTCATATGAGCAGCGGCATTGATCATTCTTCAACAGGGGCTGTGCAGTATAATTATTCTAGCTACAGTGGCACTGATCCCTCTCCAGCAGAGGCCCTGCATCATAATTTCTTGTGCAGCCACAGTAATTCAACAGGGGCGACTATTACAAGACCAGGGGCAGTGATTTCAACTCAAAACGGTCCTTGCAGTGCAATGGTAGTAACAACAGCGTTCAGGTGATGCAGAAAGCCAGCCTTCATCCAGATCTATCCACAACACAGGCTGTAGAGCACATCAGTGGAAGCTGTGGTGTCATAATCCAGAGTCGGCAAGATGGTAGCTTTAACAGCGATTATACAATACAGAACACCAGCCCCAGTGATCTACCCATAACACCAGACCTGCTGGAGAGTGATAGCAGAGTCAGTGAAAAGAAGCAGCAATGGAAATCGAGAGCCAGACGATTTTTGAAATGTCTGCGGTCCTTATGCTGCTGGTGTGGACCACCCAAAAAATGCTCCTCAATATAGACTGCAGATAACCAACCTGTGCAAGTCAGAGCTACAGAAACTGATATAGAGATATTTAATCTACTGGCCGAATTAAGACATTTATGAGCCTTCATTGAAATAACAATCACAATAACATCAGACATTAACTTCTCACAAGTTAATTTCATAATGCATAAAACAATACCTATAAACACAATAGAATTACACTGCTTCTGTACTACACTATAGTTTTTAAAACAACATTTAGGTGTCTTGTCCCCCTTTGCCTTCATTTAAAAAGGTAATTTTACTGTTCTGCCTCCTTGGTTGAGATCAGCAGAATTGACAATCTCAGCCAATTCAATTCTTTCCCATTGGAAAGGCGGCTAAAACACTGCAATACACCAATCAGCATCTCCACTTACAGATGCATTACATAGTTACATAGCTAAAAAGAGACTTGCGTCCATCAAGTTCAGCCTTCCTCTCATTTGTTTTGTAAGACTTCCCTTTGCCTTAGACAAAATCTTCTTTCTTCCAGTCTAAACGCATGACCTCGTGTCCTATGTAAAGTCCGGTTTGTGAATAGCTTTCCACACAATGATTTGTATTGGCCCCGAATATATTTGTATAATGTTATCATATCCCCTCTCATGCAACGTTTTTCTAAACTAAATAGGTTTAAATTTGTTAACCTTTCTTCATAGCTGATATGTTCCATTCCTTTTACTAATTTTGTAGCCCGCCTTTGCACTTTTTCTAGTGCCATAATATCCTTCTTTAGAACAGGTGCTCAAAATTGCACAGCATATTCAATATGCGGTCTTACCAGTGATTTATAAAGAGGCAAAATTATATTTTCATCCCGAGAATGAATGCCCTTTTTCATGCATGACAATAGCTTACAGGCCTTAGCCACTGCTGACTGACATTGCACATTGTTGCATAGTTTGTTGTCTATAACAATTCCCAAGTCCTTCTCGTGTGTGGTTATCCCTAATTCGCTTCCATTAAGGGTATACGTTGCTTGTGTAATATTTACATAACTTTGCATTTTTCAACATTAAATTTCATCTGCTATTTGAGTGCCCAGTCCCCCAGTCTATCTAAATCCATCTGCAGCTAAGTCATATCTTGCTCACATTGAATCAATGCATCTCTATGGGGAATGTTTAGCATCTCTATACATAGTGTGGTTACACTGTGCAGCACTGAGCCAGGAAGCACATCTAGTGGCCGCCTGAGTGACTGCCACTAGAAGTGTTACTAGGCTGCAATGTGAACACTGACTTTTCTCTGAAGAGGCAATATTGACATTAAAAAGCCTGCAGGGACAGGCTATAGACACTAGAACCACTACATTACGCTGTATACTAAACATTAAGCTGTAGTTGCTCTGGTGACTATAAGGTCACTTTAACGTGTCACAGGTTGATTTCATGATGCATAAAACTAACTATTAACAGAATAGCATTACATTGCTTATCCTGTATTTATTTATCATATTATGGATTGCACTACACCTTTTGTCTTGTTACTTATATTAATTGTATTGTACATTTTGTCTTTTTACTTGTATTAATTGTATTTTGATGCTTTCATTTTAATAAAAAGGGGCCGTAAACCCCAAACACCTTAGAACTAATTGTTTCATTTTGTTTTTTACTATACAGTGTTCATTTATTTATTTACTATAGTTTCAACATTTTAACATCCTGGCCACAGTCTTCAAAATATGAAAGTGTCTGTACTAAAGGGCAATGTTAAATCAGAGATTGAAAAATGATGTGGAAAGTAACGTTTATAAACCTGTTTGATGCTATGAATTCTGGGTTCAATATAAACCAGGAGTTCAAATCAAAGATTTTTACTTCTAGCTGAAGGAATGGGAGGGAATTTAGATAAATAGGTATTGTAACTAATATTAATTATTTTTGCAAATTGCAGCAAGGAGTATGTTTATTAAATAAGAAATGTAACAAATTGCTAGTCAGAACCAGTTTAAAGTTGTCCAGGGATGCCAGATTGGGCCCCCTCCAAGATTCCTGGGCTCTGTTTCTGTGTGTGGTGTGTGTTGTGTGTATGGAGGAAGGTAAGAGCTATATGAGGAGGGGAGAGGCTGAGTGTGTCTGTGTGGTGACTGAATTGTGTGTCTGTGTATTTAGGGGAGATGCTGAGTGTGGCTGAGTTTTGACTGAATTGTGTGTCTGTGTATAGAGAAGTCTGAGTGTGTCTGTGTGGTAACTGTATGGTGTGTCTGTGCGTAGTGTAGTTTGAGTGTGTCTGTGTGGCGACTGTATTATGTATGTGTTTGTTTACGGGAGTCTGAATGTGGCTGAGTGGTGATTGAATTTTGTGTCTGTGTGTTTGTGGAGTGACTGAATTGTGTTTATGCATGTGCAGGGGAGTCTGAATGTGTTTCTGTGGTGATTCAATTGTGTGTCTCTGTGTAGGGGAGTCTGAGTGTGTCTATGTGGTGACTGTATTGTGTGTATGTGTGTTTATGGGAGTCTGAGTGTGGCTCAGTGGTGATTGAATTGTGTGTGTGTGTGTGGTGACTGTGTTTATGCATATGTAGGGGAGTCTGGGTGTGACTGTCTGGTGACTGAATTGTGTGTGTGTAGGGGAGTCTGAGTGTTGCTGTGCTGCATCGTATCTACTCCCGAGAATTGTTTTAACTATTTTCAAACCCTGGCTATATGGTTTATAGCAGCTCCCCTCTCTCTTTGGCGCATCACAGTAAGATTTATTTTTTCTTGTCTTATGTTAAGTGGTATGTTGCAGTCGATTTAATTGGTATGAATTCTTTTTGAGATTCATATGGATTTTGATCACAAAAAAGGTTTACTCTTTTATGGAACTGGATAGTTTTACCAACTATGTCTATTGTACAGATGTTATGTCTTGCCTTTGTAATAAATCTGAAATATTTAAATAAATGATAAATTTGAAAAAAAGGGTGTGTCAGTGTGTGTTAGTATGTGTCTGTGTGTAAGTGTAATTGGATGGTCTTCTGTTGAGCCAAAAGATTGCACTTTGCACTTTATGAGGTGGTGTATCCAGAATTTATTTTTACCTTCTTGATCCTGGAGTGTTGCCTATGTCCTTCGGCTTCTGTGGGTCTTCCAGAAGTGTCAGTGACATTTAAATCCTTATGCAGCCAGAGGTATTGATTCCTGCATGCAAGAATGAGCAGTCAGAGGAGGTGATATCTGCCTGTTCAGCGGTTAGAATGGGAGTGGAGGGACCCTTAGCGGGCACAAAATAAATTAAGGGGTTGTCACCTTGGAGGGGAGTGCAACTGAGTAGATACTTTTTGTGGCGGGAGGGAGCAGCCTTTTAATACCTCATTTAAGGGCCCATCCAGCCTGCTAGTCTCTCTCTGCTTTCTCCTCTGAAGGTTTTCCTGCCCTCGATTTTCAGAGGTGGACTTCCTTGTGGGGGGAGGGGTTTTGCCTCTCCTTAGTTGAAGTGGTTAGTTGCCAGTATGAGGCCTGCTTAGCCAAGCTCGCCACTCTGCCCGGTTTAATTTTCAACTCTCTTGTGGTTGATGTTCAGGGTCGGACTGGCCCACCGAGATACCAGGAAATTTCCTGGTAGGCCACAGCACTTGGGGCCGGGGAGAGCAATATGCAGGGAGGGAGCTTTCTGGATCTCAAGCTGTGCCCCGGTTGCAAGCTCTGCCCCTGACCACATGCCCCACCCCCCGGGAGCAAGCTGGTGACCTAAGGGCATGAAGAGGCCATGGAATGGAGTCCTCACCTCCCAGGGCTTCCACAGCTGCAGCCTGCAGTGTCAGGTAGGCTTCAAATACACTGCAGCTTGTGAGTGAGAGTGATCTTGTGTGTGTGCCTGCTGTTGTGAGCATGTGTGTGGTGAGCATTTATGTGTGTCAGTGAGCACATCTGTAGTAAACATATATGTGTGTCAGTGAGCTTGTCTGTAGTGAGCATGTATGAGTGTGTCAATGAGCACGTCTGTAGTAAGCATGTATGTGGGTCAGTGAGCACATCTGTAGTGAGCATGTATGTGTGTGTCAGTGAGCATGTCTGTAGTAAGCATGTATGTGTGTAAGTGAGCACATTTATAGTGAGCATGTATGTGTGTATGAGTGTGCACGTCTGTAGTAAGCATGTGTGTGTCAGTGAGCACATCTGTAGTAAGCATGTATGTGTGTGTCAGTGAGCACTGTACTCACTGACATGTGTATTGTCAGTGAGTACATCTGTAGTAAGCATGTATGTGTGTAAGAGAGCATGTCTATAGTGAGCATGTATGTGTGTGTCCGTGAGCATGTCTGTAGTAAGCATGTATGTGTGTGTCAGTGAGCATGTCTGTAGTAAGCATATATGTGTGTGTCAGTGAGCACTTCTTTAGTAAGCATGTATGTTTGTAATGAACATGTATGTGTCAGTGAGCATGTCTGTAGTAAGCATGTATGTGTGACAGTGAGCATGTCTGTAGTGAGCATGTATGTGTGTGTCAGTGAGCACGTCTGTAGTGAGCATGTATGTGTGTGTCAGTGAGCATCTCTGTAGTGAGCATCTATGTGTTGGTCAGTGAGCATGTCTGTAGTAAGCATGTATGTGTATGTCTATAGTAAGCATGTATGTGTGTGTTAGCGAGCATGTCTGTAGTAAGCATGTTTATGTCAGTGAGCTTGTAATGAGCATGTGCGTGTCAGTGAGCTTGTCTGTAGTGAGCATGTGTGTGTTAGTGAGCTTGTCTGTAGTAAGCATTTTTGTGTATACCAGTGAGTTTTTCTGTAGTAAGCTTGTGTGTGTGTGTCAGAGAATTTGTCTGTACTAAGTCTGTGTGTACCTGTAAGCTTGTCTGTGTTTGTTAATGATCTGTGTGTGCCAGTGAGATTGCCCGTCTGTGAGCCTGTGTACCAGTGAACGTGTGTGCTTGTGTCAATGAGATTGTCTGTGCCTGCATGTGAGTATGCTTATTTTTACTAATATGTATAGTTAAAAAAGGAACATACCAATAATAAAAGTATATATTTATATATCCTTTAGTGAGAATGTTAAATATCCCTTTATAACATTTAAAATATGGCTACGTCTTGCAACCCCAGATTGAGTAATTCTAATTCATAAACATATATTTTATATATATGTTATATATATATATATATAAAATCTATGGAAAGAAATGTATGCCAGCCCCATGAGTCACTGTGTCATGGTAGTGTGTGTATGTATGTATGTATATGTGTGTGTGTATATATATATATATATATATATATATATTCATAAACACACACACACTACCGTGGCACAGTGACTTATCGGGCTGGCATACATTACATTTTTACCAGGGCTGCTTTGCATTCCCAGTCCGGCCCTGTTGATGTTGGTTTATTGGGTCTGGCATCGCCACTGCTTTGAAAGAGTTTCGTTTTATTTCCCTCTCCTGCAAAAGGGTGCAGCTCCAGGGTAATGCAGAGATGGAGGATGGGAGTGCTGGCAAGTTTTGGTTAGGCAGTTTCCTCCTCAATCTGTTGTGAGGTGTGGGGGTCCTTTCAGAGTATCTATGTGAGATATATCTATGTCTGTACACCCATCACCTACAGAGCTTTGCCTGTGCATGTTAAATTGTCTCCCATAAATAATAAAATGTCATTAGTCTAAAGTAACTGAGAACAGCTGCCTTAAATCTTCTATTTTATTGCATTAGATATGACTGTGTTATACAGTATTTGTGTTTCATTTAAATAAGGAGCAATTGTTAAGTAAGCCAATTGCAATTACTAAATCTCTCGCACCATGAGAGCATCACTTAATAACCCTAGGAAAGTGATTGTGTCAGATAATTTAAGTGAACTTTATAATGGATTCATAATGTAAAAATGAATTAGTGAAAATGGTACATATTAAAAGATAACTTTAAAAAATGTAAAGAAGCTAAATAGGAATACATAAACCAAATTATCAGCAGTGATGGCTTAACAGGCACATAATGAGTAGTTGCAGCATCTGTGTGTTAAGCTGACCATGACAGCAGGATGTGAGCGGCATGCAGAGAATCAAACAAGGAGAATTAAGAGGCAGGTAAAAGATTCAGTTTGAATTGAGTACCATCTGATACTGCATGCTAGTTATGTTACCTTTTTTCTTCAATGTCTGCATACTAATAGCTAAACTCTTCACTTATGTTACTATATAAATGATTAAACATGTATGGTAAAGAATATTATTTGGCAGAAAGCATCTCTTTTCTATCAATTCCAAATTGTGCCTTAAATATTTATCGTTTTGGACAGAAATGAAAAATTGTTTCATATGTTGTAGAATGTATCTGTGCTTTATAAATACCAGTAATAAGGTTTTCAGATTAATGTTTGCAGTATGTAGTCAATGTTTTATGTGCTTAGATTATAAAAGTAATTAATCAAAAGAAGAATAGGTACTACTCAGTGCTAATTAGGGAGCAGTCACTGTGTGAACCAATAGAATGTCTCTCAACATTTAGCACTTTGCTCCCACCTGTATTACCATGATAAATCTGACCCTCTGAGATTTATTTCTTCTAAATAGAATTCAGTTAAGATGCTGGTAAGTTTGACACCCTTGATGCATGTGTGTTTCTACAACTCTCACAGAATGTCATGCAGTATATGCAAATAACCACAGACATCATTCACCTTTCAAACTCACATTGCTTTATAATTACCTATGATTATACTTTTTATCCTCACCCTCACCTATCATATTCACATATAGAAGGTCCACCTGGGTGTCACCCTTGTTGGGAAAAGTTGCATAAAAGGCCAGTGTGGCCCCATTAAAAATCAGTTTTGCTTAACCCTCAACACGTAGCCTTGTCTCATGCTTGTAGGAAACCTTCTTCACAATTAATCACTAGCTCTTGTAAGAGCTCTACTACCTATTCAAATATTTGATTGGCTGAGATGACATCTGGAGAGTACTGCAGCACAGCAGCTTCCATGGAAAAAGAACGTCCCTAACAGCATACACCCCTTTGATTCTCGGGGGGGGGGGGCGTTACAGTGCTAAACAGAAATGGTATTATAGCAATAACAGAATTGGTAAGTCAGAAATAAAAGTCAGAAATAAAAGTCAGAAATAATAACAAAAAAATGGTTGATGATAGTCACCACAAGACATCTCTAAAACTTTCCGAGATTATTATTTTAAGCTGTATAATTTAGGTTCAAATAGAAAATCTACTAAACAAATTAAATCCTTTTTGGCTAAATTCACATTTCCAAAGATAACAAAGGAGGAATTAGATATACTGAACAATCCAGTATGTTTGAGGGAGATTAATGAGTTAATTGAAAAACTCTTAAACTAAATAAAGCTCCGGGGCCAGACAGTTTCACATCTCGTTTTTATCAAAAATGTAAAGAAATAGTGACTCCAATATTACTGAGGGTATTGTCTATCCTTCCTAAACAGGAACATATACCAGATGAATATATTCAGGCCTCCATTCTCCCCATATCAAAAGAAGGTAAAGACCCCACTAAAACCTCAAATTACAGGCCCATCTCCCTGATAAACTTGGATGACAAGATCTATTCAAAAGTCCTTTCTAATAATTCCTTCTTTAATACATGGCGACCAGGCTGGGTTTGTTACAGACAGAGGATCTAAAGATAACATTCGCAGTCATGAATCTAATCCATAGAATCAATTAAAAAAACTCTAAGGCCACCTTTTTGGCTATAGATGCCAAAAAGGCGTTTGATAGGTTCGATTGGCAGTTTATGAATATGGTTCTACAACAATTTGGTATCATAGGTAGTTTTCAGTTTAACTCATGGATGGCATTGTGTCTCAGCACTCTTTTGATCACTGAAAACAATCTCGAACACCTGTGATAATTAGATTGCCAGGTGAGCCCAATTTAAGGAAAAACTACTAAAGGACGGTGTTCCCCATTATTAAGCAGAGCACCATTTTCATGCAATATGGGGAAGAAAAAGGATCTCTCTGCTGCCGAAAAGAGTGAAATAGTTTAATGTCTTGGACGAGGTATGAAAATATTAGATATTTCATGAAAACTTAAGCGTGATTACTGCACTATTAAGAGATTTGTGGCTGATTCAGAGCACAGACGGGTTCGTGCAGATAAAGGCACATTGAGGAATATTTCTGCCAGATCCATGCATCGGATCAAGAGAGCAGCTGCTAAAATACCATTACATAGCAGCAAACAGATATTTGAAGCTGCTGGTGCCTCTGGAGTCCCACGGACATCAAGGTGTAGAGTCTTCCATAGTCTTGCAACTGTGCATAAACCTATTCGGCCACCACTAACCAATGCTCACAAGCAAAAACGGCTGCATTGGGCAGAAAAATACATGAAGACTAATTTTCAAACAGTCCTGTTCACTGATGAGTGCCGTGCAACTCTGGATGGTCCAGATGGATGGAGTAGTGGATGGTTGGTGGACTGCCACCCTGTTCCAACAAGGTTGCGACGTCGGCAAGGCGGTGGTGGAGTCATGTTTTGGGCCGGAATCATGGGAAGATAGCTGGTCGGCCCCTCTAGCTTCCCCGAAGGTGTAAAGATGACCTCTGCAAAGTATGTGGAGTTTCTGACTGACCACTTTCTTCCCTGGTACAGAAGGAACAGCTATGTTTTTCATAATAAAATCATCTTCATGAATGACAATGCACCATCTTATGCTGCAAAGAATACCTCTGCATCAATGGCTGCTATGGGGATAAAAGGAGAGAAAGTCATGGTGTGGCCTCCATCCTCCCCTAACCTCAATCCTATTGAGAACCTTGGGAGCATCCTTAACCCCTTAAGGACACATGGCATGTGTGACATGTCATGACTCCCTTTTATTCCAGAAGTTTGGTCCTCAAGGGGTTAAGCAAAAGATTTATGAGGGTGGGGGGCAGTTTACATCCAAACAGCAGCTCTGGGAGGCTATTCTGACATCTTGCAAACAAATTCAAGCAGAAACTGTCCAAAAACTGACAAGTTCAATGGATGCAAGACTTGTGAAGCTGCTATTAAATAAGGGGTCCTATGTTAAAATGTAACGTGACCTGTTAAAATGTTTAAAAAGTTAAAATGTTGTTATAAGTTTGATTGAAATAGCCTTTGCTTTCAGTAAATATGTTGCAAACACAACAAATGACAATTTTCAGTTCTTTACAACCTATAAAGTGTTTTGAAACTTACTGTGCGTAATAATTTGGAACAGTTTATTGTAAGTTTTTTATGTTTAAAAAAAAATACTGTTATCATTAGGAGGTTTGTTCAATAAAATTTGAATTGTACTCTTACTAGTTGATAACATGAGAATTATGCTGACTATTATTTACATCAATTATTTAGGTAAATGAGAAAAATATAATTTGCATAATAATTTGGAACAGGGTGTAGTTATTACATATATTATATACATACATGTGTAATTTTACTCTAAGTGTATTTTTATATAAATATATGTATATATTAATTACAAAATGCACTTAGTATGACGTTATATATAAGATATATATACATAATATATATAGATATAATATATGTATATATATGAATCTCATATATACATATATGAAAAAAATAATCTATTAACTTTATTATTTCATTATTTCTTTTACTTTTTTTTAACTTTTTTTAACCAGCAGGGGGACTACCTGTCAGTTCAGGCAGTCCCCCTGCTGGCAGCACTGTGGACACCTATTGCGGCCATGTGACCGCTCTTTTAGAGCAGTCACATGGCCCCTGGGGGTCCTAATTTGCAGAGGGGGGACTGTCTGGGCTGTCAGACAGGCCCCCCCCCCAGTGAAGCAGAAGACTGAACGGCGGTGATCAGTAAGTTCATGGGAGAGGGAGGGTAGGGGTTAATTTTTTTATTTAATTTTACTACCATTAGTGCTCTTATTTCTAAACTCAGGACAACATTTTGAAACTATTTGTTTTTTGGAGGTTGTAGATGCATAACAGATTTTGGCATCCAAAGTTAGAAAAAATGTATTTTTTACATTTTTTCATCATATTTTATAATAATTATGTCACAGCAAAGTCTGAACCCTGCAGCATGTGACTGCCCCTTTAAGAGACCTGGCTAGGTTTGAACTCACAGCTCCAGCATCCCAGTCAAGTTTTCTGACATGATATCCACCAGGGTGCTGCAGTTTCTGTATGCATTATTCTGCTTCCTAAACCCCTTGCCTGAATTAAGCAGTGCTGATCCACCTGTAGCCCTTTTCCAATTAGGGTCAGCTGCATCTAATTAGCAGGCTGTAAAAGCCAGCCCTGCCTAAATCCTAGGATCTGGTCATATTTGCTTGTTTGGTG